GAAGGGGGGCGGGGAGGGGGGGTTTTAGGAAAGCCAGGACTTGCTGGGTGGGCGGGGCTGGTGGACTCCCGGCTCTGCCCTCCTGACACCCACAGGGGACCAGGTGGCTGACTTGCCACTGGATTTTATATTACCTTGCACAACGTTTTTAAAAACGGAGCCTACATTTTAAAATCATCTGACTCCACGTGAGAAGCCTAGCTTTCCGACTCTTGAAATAGTTGCGCCCACGTTCGCTGAAGGGTCGCAGGTTCGATTCCAGCCAAGGTTGCATGTGCCCTGACCAGGAATCGAACCATGACCCCCTGGCTCAGAGGTTGATGCTCAAACACTGAGCCGCGCGGGCCGGGCTCACCTGAATTCTGGCTTTGGAGGGAGGGAAGGCCACCTCTCAGACGACCCCCTGCAGATGGCTGTCCTTGGGGGAGACCTGTCTCTCCCCTCCCGTTTGGCTAAAATGCCAGCCAACCAGGTGTACATGCGCCCCCCTGAGCGTTCGTGAGCGACACACACAACCGGAAGGGCCTTTCAGCCTCAGTGTGAGGGGCTTGGGCCCTGACCCCCGGGGACAGGGCGATTGTGTGGCAGATGCGGGTGCCCGGGCGCGAGGTACCATTCGGAGCCGGCAGGGACCCTGCCCTCTGGCTCCTTGGCCGGCCTGCCCTGACGCTTACTTCTCCCGCCACCACTCGCGCTCTTCCCCACGAGGCCCCGGTCAGCGTGTCCTTGCCCAGCGCAAATCTGTTCCCTCCTGGAGCAGCTCGTTAGTCCGCCATCACCCCTTCATCCTCGGTCTTCGCGTTCGCAGGGAGCGAGGCGATGAGATCCTGGAACAGGGCCGGTGGGTTTTGATGGAGAAGCAGGAAAAGCGGAACATGAGTCGCCGGTGGGGCTGGCGGTGGGCTAGGGGGCAGCTCAGGGCCTGGTGGGAGGGGACCCGGGCCGGTGGGCAGAGCACAGGTTTCCCCTCCCCTACGCCAGGCTGTAGGGTCCCTTCTTGGACGGGAAAGGCCCTCGGGGTCATCCCTGGGCCTGGGGCTCCTCCCAGCGCGGGGCTTCCCAGTCTCCACATTAGAAGGGGGGGGGGGCTGGGAGGAGGGCACACAGGGCTTTACAGAGATGGGGGGCCTTCGCGCACTGCCCGTCGCTCCCACGTCACAGCGGGGAACCGAGGGCTTGCACCGACACCCACCCTGGTTACTGGAGGGTCCGAGGTTAGAACTTGGGCCCGCGCAGCCGCCCCGCTTCTGGAAGAACTTGTGGTCACAGGCGAGTTTGCACTTGGATCAGAAACCAAGGGGAGGCGAGCAGTGTCTGAGCAGAGAGGGCCAGGGGGTGGGCGAAGGATGAAAGCGAAACCAGCGCGGTGCGCAGCGCAGAAGCCACCGGGGCCAGAGGCGAGCGGAGGGAGGCCCCG